ATGGTCTCGATCTCCTGACCTCATGATCCTGATCCACCCGCCTCGGCCTCCCAAAGTGCTGGGATTACAGGCGTGAGCCACCGCACCTGGCCTCACTCTTCACTCTTTCAAATCACGTTAGGGCTGAAAATTCAAGTAGGTGTTAACTACAGAGAGTTGGGGAGTTTAGCTCATAGTTAGAAACGCTCTTCTCAGCTCTCTCTCTTCTGTGGAAGGTGAAAAAAGTTTGTCTTCCTTGTAGTTTCTGTCTGCTTCAAAGACCAGCAGTTCTAGTTCTCCTGCCTCATGTATTCATTCACTAAAAAAACCAAAAAATTACTGTGCACCTAGGGAGGAGATACCAAGCCGAATAAGGAGGAACTTACTGAGGTAGACAAAACCAGATCATTATAATACAGTGTTTAAGTGGAGAAAGAGACAGATGAGACAGATATGGATAGACATAAAGCGAGAAATGGCTAGGATGGTTTTTGTTTGTTTTGTTTTGTTTTGTTTTGTTTTGTTTTTGAGATGGAGTCTTGCTCTGTCGCCCAGGCTGGAGTGCAGTGGCTCTATCTCGGCTCACTGCAAGCTCCGCCTCCCGGGTTCAGGCCATTCTCCTGCCTTAGCCTCCCAAGTAGCTGGGACTACAGGCGACCACCACCACGCCCGGCTAGTTTTTTATATTTTTAGTAGAGACAGGGTTTCACCGTGTTAGCCAGGATGGTCTCGATCTCCTGACCTCGTGATCCGCCCACCTCAGCCTCCCAAAGTACTGGGATTACAGGCGTGAGCCACCGTTCCTGGCCATGGGTAGGATGTTTTGAGAGCATAACGGGAGATATCCAGTTTGCATTTGGTCAGGAAAGGTTTCCTGGAAGAGGTAATGCTTTAGCTGAAACTTAAAGAGTAAACATAAGTTAGCCTGATAAAACGTAAGAGTAGAATGACATTCAAGCCAAAAGGAACAGCATGAGCAAAGGCATAGAATCTAGAAACGGCACAGGCACCGCCATGATGTGTTTGAAGAAACAAAGTAGCTCAGAGTTGTTAGAGCATCAAATGTGAGGCAGAGAATGGTAGACAAAGCTAGGAGACAGGTTTGAGCACTTGAATTTTCTCTTGGAGGCTTTGGGATGCTGTTAAAGGATTTTAAGCTGAGAAACAACATGGCCAGGTTTGGGTTTAGATCAGTTGCATTGGCAATAAGGGGAAAATACAATTGACAGGGACAAGGCTGAAGGTAAGAGACAAGTTAGGAGGCTGTCATTAATCTCAGCAAAACAAAAGGCAATCTAAACTAGGCAGTTGTGAAGATAGAGAGGAGAGGTAGATTTGAAGAATATTCAGAAGGTAAAATTAGCATGACATCATGGATTAGTGTAGTAAGGGATAGGGAGGGTCAAGGATGATTCCCAGGGTTTTGCCCTGGGTGAATGCTCATACTGCCACCTGAAATTCATACTTCAGGAGGATAATTCTGGAAGTGTATCTGAAGGAATATTATAAATTCCAGATGGAAATGCTGAGTTTGAAGTACCTGTGAAATGAAGGTCAAACTGTCAACATACAGTTGGATACTAAAGGCTAAAGTTCTGAGGAAAGAGCTGGACCAAAGATAAAAATCTGGGAGTTATTAGCATGTAGGTGCTAGTTGAAACCAGGACTATATGAGGCTAGAAGGAAGGGAGTTACCCAGGGAAGGAATCTACCATTAAATGAGTTGTGGGCTGAGGGCAGACACTATCAGAGAAGTGAGAGAAGAATCCAGATGATATCTTCAGGTCTTTTGTGCTTGCTAAATTGAGTGAAGCCCAAACATTCTGTTCTCTGTTCTGGACAAACCCCCACTTACCCAGTATAGCCTTGTCTTCAGCATTGCTAATGTTAGAAAAATTAGGTAAACATATTAAGAAAAAGTAACCGGCCGGGTGCAGTGGCTCACGCCTGTAATCCTAGCACTTTGGGAGGACAAGGCAGGTGGATCACCTGAAGTCAGGAGTTCGAGACCAGCCTGGCCAACATGGCAAAACCCTGTCTCTACTAAAAATACAAAAATTAGCCGGGCATGGTGGTGCATGCCTGTAATCCCATCTACTGAGGAGACTGAGGAAGGAGAATCGCTTGAACCCGGGAGGTGGAAGTTGCAGTGAACCCAGATCGCGCCACTGCACTCCAGCCTATGCGACAGGAGCAAGACTCCATCTCAAAAAAAAAAAAAAAAAAGGTAACCACATACTTTTCTTTTGAGGAGAGGGGGACCGCCCTTGGCCCTAACTACTCTCTCAAAGACCTCATTCTCTGCTTTCAGTATGTGGAGAACAACAAGAATGCTGACAACGATTGGTTCCGACTGGAGTCCAACAAGGAAGGGACTCGGTAGGTAGACCCTCCTGGGAGGTGTGGGGTGGGAGTCTTATATGAGTTAGGCAATTTGGTATCCTAGCGCCCACTACCAAAGCTGCCCTGTCTCATGTTAGCTGTCTCCACTCCCACAGCTCCAGAGTTCCCCAGTTCCCATCCTATGAGTCTCCCAGGCTGGTGGCCTAAGCCAAGTTGTCATTTGAGTATTGGAAGAATAGGCAAATTGGACTGAGGTTTGGTCTTTGTTACAGGTGGTTTGGAAAATGTTGGTATATCCATGACCTCCTGAAATATGAGTTTGACATCGAGTTTGACGTGAGTGTGATAGAGTGGGAAATGTGAAGGTTAGTAGAAGGGGAGGGATTAGATGATTGGTAACAAGATATCCTTTCTTGAGCATAAGCATAAGTTATAGTTACTCATCTCCACGTCCAGAATCCTGGTATGGATGTGCTGCTTGGGGAGTTTTACTTAACATTTCAGTTTAACCAAGAAATATGTATGTCTGATTATATTAGTTCCTTTCTATCCTGATTCTGTTTTATTAAGGTTTTATACTTTCTCCAGATTCCTATCACATATCCTACTACTGCCCCAGAAATTGCAGTTCCTGAGCTGGATGGAAAGACAGCAAAGATGTACAGGTAGGACTGAATAGGAGATGGCAAAGAGTCAAAGAAGGCCTTAAGGAAGAACTTCGTGGCGGGAGGGAGATCATCAGGAAAAATTGCTAATGGATGCTTGGCTTGATGTCTGGATGATGGGATGATCTATGCGTAAATCACCATGGCACGTTTACCTGTGTAACAAACCTATACATCCTGCTTGTGCACCTCTGAACTTAAAAGTTGTAAGGAAAAAAAAAAAAAGGAAGAACTTTGGAGGCAGAGATTTTTCCAGGGTCTGCTGGCCTAGTGGGGTGCCAGGCCCTCCTCTGCTGAGCCTAGGCAAAGTACTTAGCTGACGTTGTTCTCAATTCTGATCACTAGTAGTCTTCCTATGCCCCCGAGGCTGCTGTGCTTTATGGTAAACTTTGCATGTCAACACCTTCTTCATGTCCCTCTCATAGGGGTGGCAAAATATGCCTGACGGATCATTTCAAACCTTTGTGGGCCAGGAATGTGCCCAAATTTGGACTAGCTCATCTCATGGCTCTGGGGGTAAGTTTTGTGTATTTGGCATAAAAGGAGGAAGAGGGGCTTAGGCCCTGAGCATTATAGGAAAAGCAGCTAAGAATAAAAGGAATAACAGTGTTGTCCCTTAAGCATATCCCCCCAGAATCTGTCTCCAGGAGGGAGCTTCTAATGGAATAAGAAGCATTGACTGGTAGTAATCTCACAGGATTTTCCTTGTATTGCAGCTGGGTCCATGGCTGGCAGTAGAAATCCCTGATCTGATTCAGAAGGGCGTCATCCAACACAAAGAGAAATGCAACCAATGAAGAATCAAGCCACCGAGGCAGGGCAGAGGGCCCTTTGATAGGCTACGATACTGTTTTCCTGTGCATCACACTTACCTAACTGCTTCCCCGGACACCCTCCACCTCTAGTTGTTACTAAGTAGCTGCAGCAGTCATTGCTGGGGGAGAAACAAACAAACACCAACCAGTATTGCTACTTAGTTTCTAAGGCTGCACAGGGAAGGGAAAGACTGGGCTTTGGACAATGTAGAGGTAATTTATATCCGCCCCTAGGTGGAGCAACATGCGATCCTGGAGGCATGGGGGTAACTGAAAGTGAGTACATAAAGTCTTTCTGGTTTCTGGAGATAACCCATCAATAAAAGCCGCTTCCTCTGGTAGCCTGTGGTTCTCATTGGGAGCTGTTAACATAGGGCAAATGGGCTAAAACCTGAGGCACATGAACAGCTACGACGGGTTGGGCTGGGAGGGAGTCGGAAATAGGGGATGCTGTGGTCAGGAGTGGGAATGAAATGTTGACTATTCCCCCTGCTGCTCAGATCTGCCTTTGTCCTTTAGTGGTAAGCCATGCTTCGCCCTACTGTGTTAGCCTGCAAGAAGTGGTATTGCAGGACCAGCACTTCCCGCCCTCCAGGGATCTTCCTATTCCTCTGTGAAGTGCTAGATGCTTCCCCACTGGTCTGCGGGGTGGACCCAGGCCTGCAGCTTGCCACACTTGCACCCCTGCTGTTTGGGAAGGATCTGTGCTATAAGCCTCGCAGCCATACTACGACTGTCAGATCTCCATCCCTATGGGCTACAGGATGGGGCGACGACACCCTATACCTCAGGGACTTGCTTTGGAGTCATGGATTAAAGAGCACTCTGGGCAGCGCTGAGAACTAGCGACCCTAAACTTGGCTGCGTTTCCATGGTGTCGATCGCGGAGCCGTGGGGCGGGCTCACGCAAGCGCCAAGGGGCCGGGTGGGAGGAGTTAGAGTGTGGATGCGCAGGCGCTTTGAGAGACGGTGAAGCCGGTGGCCGGTGGTCGGGCGGGACCAACAAAGATGGCGGCGGCCCCTGCGGCGGGAGCGATCTGGGCAACGGCTGCGGCTAAAGCTGCAGCCGGGCCCACTGAGGGGCTGCACGGGGGTAGTAGGGGGTGGCCCTGAACTGGGGCCTGGCCCCGGCTGGCCTCTCCCGCCGCCTCATCGGGGGACAGGTACGGGCCGGGGCGTTATGGCATGGCGGGGTGTGGGGGGGCGCAGAGGGAAGACTGCTCCAGACCCGAGAGGACACTCCACAAAGGCGCGTGGGGCCCGGCGGGGCCTGGGAGAACTGGGCTGGAGGGACAGCATCCCTGGACCGCGGGGAATACGCCGCCGGATTCCGTAGCCAATCAGCGGCCTCGGCCTTTCTGCCCTCGAGGGGGGCGGACCCGGCGAAAAGCCCTGCCGTGGTGGGAGAGGTGCAGAGATTAAGGGTCAAGGAGTTGTTCGTCCTGCATCCCCGACCACTGCCTCCTGAACCTCGACACCATGTCGGAGGTCGGAGGTGGGGGAGGGAATGGATCGTAAGTCCCCTATTTAGTCTGCTTCATTTGCAGCCCAGAGAGGCAGGGATTTGAGGATGGAGGACTGTCTTTTGGGCTGTTATTCTTGCATCTACACTACCATTTGGCTAGAGATCTTAAGTGATTCGAGGCACATCCTACTTTACTAGCCGGGTATGGGGTCCTATGTTACGTTAGAGCCGCCATAGGAGTTATCACTGGCTTTTCAGTAAAGCTGTATTCTGCAGGGAGGGGACAGGAGTATAGAAAAGGTCAAAGCCATGGGCTGCTATCTTTCATTCATTTGTTTACTCAATAGATACTAAGTATTTACTTTGTACCAAACACGATGCCAGGTACTGGGGATACATACGATGGCTGATTCGATAGATCTGGTTCCTGCCCTCAGTGCATATACTGCTCCCCACTTTCGTTGATGTGGTAGTGGTGATGACTGAGCCAACCTAATGTGGAAATGAGAGGACAGCAAGATTGTGGGTATGGAATGGGGCAAAGCAATAAGGGAAAATTAGTGTGGCAGGGTTCAGTACAGCAGCCTGGGTTCCCATTTCCCCCCATATTCAAATGCTGACACTCTCTTCTCCTCCCAGGTCCAGCCTGTGGTGTCCACAATGCCCCAAGCCTCTGAGCACCGCCTGGGCCGGACCCGAGAGCCACCTGTTAATATCCAGCCCCGAGTGGGATCCAAGCTACCATTTGCCCCCAGGGCCCGCAGCAAGGAGCGCAGAAACCCAGCCTCTGGGCCAAACCCCATGTTACGACCTCTGCCTCCCCGGCCAGGTCCCCCTGATGAACGGCTCAAGAAACTGGAGCTGGGACGGGGACGGACCTCAGGCCCTCGACCCAGAGGCCCCCTTCGAGCAGATCATGGGGTTCCCCTGCCTGGCTCACCACCCCCAACTGTGGCTTTGCCTCTCCCATCTCGGACCAACTTAGCCCGTTCCAAGTCTGTGAGCAGTGGGGACTTGCGTCCAATGGGGATTGCCTTGGGAGGGCACCGTGGCACCGGAGAGCTTGGGGCTGCACTGAGCCGCTTGGCCCTCCGGCCTGAGCCACCCACTTTGAGACGTAGCACTTCTCTCCGCCGCCTAGGGGGCTTTCCTGGACCCCCCACACTGTTCAGCATACGGACAGAGCCCCCTGCTTCCCATGGCTCCTTCCACATGATATCCGCCCGGTCCTCTGAGCCTTTCTACTCTGATGACAAGATGGTGAGGACTTGCCACACATGTGGCCTTCATGCCCATGTTCCTCTGTGCTTTCCTGCCATCCTCTGCCTTTCCCGTCCCCCATTTCCCTGAAGTTCCTTTCTCAGCCCTTCATTACAGCAGTTTGGACACACCTCTCCCTTGCTTAAATACCCTTGAGCCTCCTAGACCCTTTTTTGGGTTGTTGGTGACTCCCCAGCATGGTGTGCCCAGGGTCCCCAGGGAATTAGCCCAACTATTCAGAATTCTTCTTTGGGTCCCCAGGCCCTTACTTTCCCTTGTTGCACTTTCTGTACTGGGACTTTGCCTAGGCCTAATTAATCTCTGGAGCTAAAGAGAGGCGAGCTCAGAACATCTTAGCAAATGTGGTTGCACATTTTCTGAGCTAAGTAAACTAGGCTGATTGCAATTGGAGCCAGCAGCAGAAGGGCAAGAAGGGGCCACGGGGGCAGGAGGGGGTTTTGGGGGCAGAAAGGTGGGAGTGGTGAGCAGCTGGGCAACCATGCCGGTGCTGGGGGAGTTGCCCCAGGAGCTGCAACGTCGGCTAGCTGAGCAGAGGAGTAAGTGGGCAACAGGTGGGACAGCCATGGCTGAGTCTGTGGTACATTCAGCTGTGATGGGCTTACTGCTCATGACCAGTGAGGTAGGGAGGCTAGAATACCTAGTGAGGGGAATAGGGTAGAGTTTGGGGATTAAACATGCATGGGATGGGGGAGGCAGTGGGCAGCATGCTGTCGAAAGGTTAAAGTGCTTGGTAGGATATATAAGAACTTGCCGATTGTATTCTGACCTTCCAGGCTCATCACACACTGCTTCTGGGCTCTGGTCATGTTGGCCTTCGAAACCTGGGAAACACGGTGAGAGCCATTCTCCTGTCTTTCCTCTCTAAAAGGAATGTGAAATGGTGCTGGGGGTGGGGAAAACCCGTGAGCTTGGGGAAGGCATGTGGAAGGAGAGCTCTGAGGCTCTTCTAAGGCTTCCTGGGTAGTGGTCTGGAGAGATAACAGCAGTGTCCCTACTGCTCTCCAGTGCTTCCTGAATGCTGTGCTTCAGTGTCTGAGCAGCACTCGACCTCTTCGGGACTTCTGTCTTAGAAGGGACTTCCGGCAAGAGGTGCCTGGAGGAGGCCGAGCCCAAGAGCTCACTGAAGGTGGGGCAACAACTCCTGCTCCCTCTGTTCAAGTCCCTTTTTCCCCAACCACTTGCAGGTCCATCTGCCAGTACTGGTGGCCCCCAACCCTTAAATCTGGCAGTTGTATCTACTTTTCCCAGTGCCTACTTTCCTAAAGGTTATTTTCTGCCCTCTGAGCCACATCTTGCTTGCCTCTTCCAGACATTAACCTTTGTTTCCCTTCCCTACTCCCATCCCAACAGCCTTTGCAGATGTGATTGGTGCCCTCTGGCACCCTGACTCCTGTGAAGCTGTGAATCCTACTCGATTCCGAGCTGTCTTCCAGAAATATGTTCCCTCCTTCTCTGGATACAGGTGGGAGAGCTGGAGGCTATGGGATTTCTCTCTGGCCATGTCTGGGGGTAGGGCCAAGCAAGGGCCCTGGCAGCATTGTTCTGAGCTTTGAGATGTTCTTCATCCAGGAAGTGGGGACCGATATCTGGGCAGGGAATAGTGTCTGTGGACTAGGAGGGGAGTCAGTTGCCCATACTCTTTGTCTGGCTGTAGCCAGCAGGATGCCCAAGAGTTCCTGAAGCTCCTCATGGAGCGGCTACACCTTGAAATCAACCGCCGAGGCCGCCGGGCTCCACCAATCCTTGCCAATGGTCCAGTTCCCTCTCCACCCCGCCGAGGAGGGGCTCTGCTAGAAGAACCTGAGTTAAGGTAAGGGTCGTTCCCTCTACCTCCTCTCCCCAGTAGTTTATCAGCAGCATTTACACTTCATAGAACTGAACTAGTCAAGATGGAAGATGTAGGGTCCAGGAAAACCCTTTAGTATAGAAAATAGTGTGAGAAGCAGCGTAGAAGTAGAAGGAAGGAAGAGGGGGAGTCTAAGGGAGCAGATGGAGGCAGAAGATCATGCTAGGGATGTCACCAAATTGAAGAAGGGGATAATTAATTTACAGGTTGAGGAAGACAGCATATTCTTCCCTTGTGTACAATCCTTCCTTTTCCTCTCACCTCAGATTTCCCCAGAAAGTTCATTGAGGCATTATTCCTTTGACTTTTCCTTGAAATATAGGGAAGAAGCAGGGGTGTGGGTGGGGTGTAGGGCTCTGTGGGTCGTTACAGTGGGTGTTGGGGGTGCCCAGTGTTCTTGCTGTCTCATGGATGCTCCCCACTTCCTTTGATCTGTGGTAGTGATGATGACCGAGCCAACCTAATGTGGAAACGTTACCTGGAGCGAGAGGACAGCAAGATTGTGGGTATGGAATGGGGCAAAGCAATGAGGGAAAATTAGTGTGTGAGGGGGGTTCAGGCTTGGGGGGAAAACTGATACTATCGAGGGGTATGGGAAGAAGACTAGATGATGCAAATGTGAAGCTGTGTGAAGAGTTGATTAGGAGTGTTGGTAGTGGGAAAGGAAGGGTCAGGCAAAGGGGCAGAAAGAGATAGAAATCCGAGAAATCATCTCATAACATCCAACAATGACCTTTTCTCCTGTCCCTGTGCTTCTGTCTAGACCTGTTTGTGGGCCAGTTGAAAAGTTGTCTCAAGTGCCAGGCCTGTGGGTATCGCTCCACGACCTTCGAGGTTTTTTGTGACCTGTCCCTGCCCATCCCCAAGGTGGGATTCCAGAGGATTCCGGGGTGGACAGGACAGGGGCTCTGTGACCCAAGCCTACCCACCCCCAGAGTGTGGGCGGGAACCCTGTGGGTTTCTGGAGCAGAACTGAAGCCTGGATTGATTGAGAAGAGTTGGAAAACGAAATTCAGAACATGTTGACCTTTCTTCCCCTTTTCCCCCAGAAAGGATTTGCTGGGGGCAAAGTGTCTCTGCGGGATTGTTTCAACCTTTTCACTAAGGAAGAAGAGCTAGAGTCGGAGAATGCCCCAGTATGTGGAGGTTCACAAGGGATATAGTAAGGGTGGGAGACCTGGGGGGAGGGGGACTCCATGTGGATAAAATGGATTGCATGATGCGTTAATATGGGGAATAATATTTATGTATCTGGGTTTGTGTTGGAGTCTCAGATATGTTCTAGTACTCCTAGAGCAAAGGGGAGAAGCCGAGAGGATCCAGCCGTAATGAAGTGCATACGAAATTTATATGTGGATTGGAGTGTCAGAAAAGCCAATTGAGGTTAGGAGCACATTAACCTAACACTGTTTGCCATTTATTCAGGTGTGTGATCGATGTCGGCAGAAAACTCGAAGTACCAAAAAGTTGACAGTACAAAGATTCCCTCGAATCCTTGTGCTCCATATCCTAATCTTCAGATTCTTACTTCTCTTAGGATACCTCCCATACATTCTCTTTCCTCACCCTCCATGTTTCCAGAGAATTGAATTTTCCTTAGGAAAAGCCTGCCACCCCCTTTTCCACAAGCTACTCCCAGTGTTTTGGGAGTGGGGAGAGGACAGCTTTTAGGACAGAAGTCCCCCTTAGAGGCCCACTGCCTCCCAACTGCTCCTTAACCAGGGCTTAGATCTGAATCGCTTTTCTGCCTCCCGAGGCTCCATCAAGAAGAGTTCAGTAGGTGTAGACTTTCCACTGCAGCGACTGAGCCTAGGGGACTTTGCCAGTGACAAAGCCGGTGAGTCTGGTGGGGAAAGTCCTAAGGAGCCAAAGGAGTGGGGGCACAGCTCTGATTGTAGAACTTGATCATCTCCAACCCCGCAGGAAGTCCTGTATACCAGCTGTATGCCCTTTGCAACCACTCAGGCAGCGTCCACTATGGCCACTACACAGCCCTGTGCCGGTGCCAGACTGGTTGGCATGTCTACAATGACTCTCGGTGAGAACAGCCTCCTATTTACATCTTGCCCCATTCCCACTCAGCCCTGACACCCTCCCCTTCTATGAAGTCCCAGGAGAGCAGAGTGCCAGGTGAAAGGAGAGGCGGAGGTCTTGCCTGATCTCTTCCTGGATGCTCTGAGGTTCGGTCTTGAGGGAGAAGGGAGTAAACAGTAATGACCACAACCTTTTCCCGATCTCCCTTTTTCCTAGTGTCTCCCCTGTCAGTGAAAACCAGGTGGCATCCAGCGAGGGCTACGTGCTGTTCTACCAACTGATGCAGGAGCCACCCCGGTGCCTGTGACACCCTCTCTAAGCCCTGGCACCTGTGAAGCCCTTTAAACACCCTTAAGCCCCAGGCTCCCCGTTTACCTCAGAGACGTCTATTTTTGTGTCTTTTTAATCGGGGAGGGGGGAGGGGGTGGTTGTAGCTCCATTATTTTTTTTATTAAAAAATACCCTTCCACCTGGAGGCTCCCTTGTCTCCCAGCCCCATGTACAGAGCTCACCAAGCCCCTGCCCGTGTACAGCCCCCAGACCCTCTGCAATATCACTTTTTGTGAATAAATTTATTAAGAAAAAATGATGTGCTTATTTGTATTTTTGCTTAGGGAGTGACAGAAAACTGGGCCTAATTGGAGTCTTCCTGGGACCCAAGTTCCCTCTCTAATAGGTGGGGGCGCTCTCAGATCCAAGGGGGAAGGTTTCGGAGATGGTGCTGGACCCGGACCTGTGCCCCCCAGCAGTGTACGTTAAGCACTGGGAGGAAAAAGAGGGAAGGCATACTTGAGGCTGCGTGCAGGCTCTGGGGCGTCTGGTTTGGTCGGCGATGGGGGATGCCGCTGTTGACAAACACTGGGTACGTTGCCGGGTGGCCCTAGCTCCCGTAGGCCCGGTCTGTTGCTAACATCAAGGAGCTGTTTATGGAGCCACCTCCCAGTGGACTGGCTTCCAGTGTCCCTATCTATTCTCCCTACGACCAAAGCTCCTGGGGCCTTCCCTCTAGGGTTGTCACCCTAGCTGGACCTGGGAAACTTGTGCTGGGGAACGCTAACTCCAGCATTAAGCGCTCGTCGCCTCGGTCCTGAGGAGGGCAGTGCCGGGTAGAGCCGCTCACTCCCAGCTCGGAGCTGACGCGGTTAACCTCAAGCTCTCACAGCTGCCGTCGCTCCGCCTCTGCCAGTTCAATGTTTTCATTGGTGAACGTGATCCGGGACCTTCCAGGGCCTGCCAATCCAGATGTAGGAGAAATATGGTCAGGCGCGTGCCGCGAGAACAGAGTGGACGGAGAGTAGGAGAGACCGAAAAGGCTGGGGGTGGGAATAGCGGATTTGAAGCACTTTTTGGCCTACCAAGGCGTGGCAAACAGAGCGCCTCAGAACTCAGGCGTACTGCCCGCCGCCCCGAGCCCTGCGAGGGCCGATAGCGAGGGTGTGGGCCTTATCTGCACCCAGCGGAGCGCCGGCGGGGTACGGTCTTAGGACCTCGACCTCCTTCTGCCTCATTTTTTCTCCTCTCTTGTGGGTGAGTCCTGGCCCCTGGACGGGGACCTCACTGTTCCACCAGCCCATCTGTGCACACTTAGTTTCCCTTAAAGCAGTGAGTGACCGGGGATAGAACGCAAAACCGGCGGGGCTTCTGGAGCGCAGGGTGTCCCCGGTCTGCCTGTCCATATCGCCCCCTTTCCCCCAGGTTTCCCCATGGGCCGGACCGTGGTCGTGTTGGGCGGAGGCGTCAGCGGCTTGGCCGCCAGTTACCACCTGAGCCGGGCCCCGTGTCCCCCTAAGGTGAGTGCTCCACCTGTGCCAGAGGGAGCTTCATTTAATGCTCTTTTCCCATTTCCATCAAAAGTTAGATGGATCCTGGCCCTCTGAATGTGCCTCCTCCCCTCCCCTCCTGACCTATCCCCGGCGGCTAGAGGCGGTGCTGCAGTGTCGCTCCCTCTTGTCGCCAGGTGGTTCTGGTGGAGGGCAGTGAGCGTCTGGGAGGCTGGATTCGCTCTGTTCGAGGCCCGAATGGTGCTATCTTTGAGCTTGGACCTCGGGGAATTAGGCCAGCGGGAGCCCTAGGGGCCCGGACCTTGCTCCTGGTGAGAGGCTTGTGGGATGTCTAGGAGAGAGGCTGTGGAGGGGGCTTCCATTGGGGAATAGAGTTTAGAGGGGGAAGTATGTTTGGTGGGTCAGACCTTCCCTTAGTTTCTCCTCTTCTGAGGGCCTGTGGAGAGCAGGTTTCTGAGCTTGGCTTGGATTCAGAAGTGCTGCCTGTCCGGGGAGACCACCCAGCTGCCCAGAACAGGTTCCTCTACGTGGGCGGTGCCCTGCATGCCCTGCCCACTGGCCTCAGGTAACACCAGCACCTCCGCTGCTTTTTCTGTGCCCTCATCCTCATATGCCTTCCATTTCTTTCTCTTTTTTTTTTTTTTTTTTTTTTTTTTTTTTTTTTGAGACGGAGTATCGCTGTCGCCCAGGATGGAGTGCAATGGCGCGATCTTGGCTCACTGCAACCTCCGCCTTTCCGGCTCAAGCGATTCTCCTGCTTCAGCCTCCCGAGTAGCTGGAACTACAGGTGCCCACCACCACGTCCGGCTATTTTTTGTATTTTTAGTAGAGATGGGGTTTCACCATATTGGCCAGGCTGGTCTCGAACTCCTGACCTTGTGATCCGCCTGCCTCGGCCTCCCAAAGTGCTGGGATTACAGACGTGAGCCACCGTGCCTGACCTGCCTTCCATTTCTTCATCTCCCTGTCAGCATTCCCAGCAAAAGGAAGCCAAATGAGTGGAAATGACCCCAGCGCCTGAAGCTGGGGAGGTATGTCAGGAGCTTCCCCCTCACTAAGTCTTTCTCCATGCAGGGGGCTACTCCGCCCTTCACCCCCCTTCTCCAAACCTCTGTTTTGGGCTGGGCTGAGGGAGCTGACCAAGCCCCGGGGCAAAGAGCCTGATGAGACCGTGCACAGTTTTGCCCAGCGCCGCCTTGGACCTGAGGTGACACTTGCCCAGAGGCCCCAAACCTCTTCCCTCCTAAACCAGCTGCAGAGCTCCCTGTTCAAATCTACCACGTAAGGGCTCTTCTGTATCATTTGGAGATGCCCTCTTCTCTTCATATCCCACCCCCTCATAATTCCCAAAACTCATTATTGGGAGTGAAGGCTTTCACTTCCATCCTTCTGTCATAGTGGGAATGTCTCCCAAACCAAACCCTATCCCACCCCCATTCCCTACCAAATACGGGCTGTGGAAATCAGTCAGTGTAGATTATTCTTTGGCTCCTTAGTCCCAGTCTCACCCTTAAGGTGGCGTCTCTAGCCATGGACAGTCTCTGCCGTGGAGTGTTTGCAGGCAACAGCCGTGAGCTCAGCATCAGGTCCTGTTTTCCCAGTCTCTTCCAAGCTGAGCAAACCCATCGTTCCGTATTACTGGGCCTGCTGCTGGGGGCAGGTGAGGGGGGATTGATTCAAAGGGTGAAGATATTAAGGACTGCCAAAGTGAGGGAGTGGGGACAAAGGGTGCTATTCAATGATTCTTTTTTTCTTTTTTGAGACAGAGTCTTGCTCTGCCACCTAGGCTGGAGTGCAGTGGTGCAATCTCAGATTGGCTCATTGCAACCTCTGTCTCCCAGGCTCAAGCAATTCTCCTGCCTCAGCCTCTTAAGTAGCTGGGATTACAAACATGTGCCACCACTCCCAGCTAATCTTTGTATCTTTTTTGGTAGAGATGAAGTTTCACTATGTTGGCCAGGCTGGTCTCAAACTCCTGACCTCAAGTGATCCACCCACCTCCGCCTCCTAAAGTGCTGGGATTACAAGTGTGAGCCACTGCATCCAGCCTCAATGATTCTTCTTTGCTTCCTCTGCAGGGCGGACCCCACAGCCAGACTCAGCACTCATTCGCCAGGCCTTGGCTGAGCGCTGGAGCCAGTGGTCACTTCGTGGAGGTCTAGAGATGCTGCCTCAGGCCCTTGAAACCCACCTAACTAGTAGGGGGGTCAGTGTTCTCAGAGGTCAGCCAGTCTGTGGGCTCAGCCTCCAGGCAGAAGGGCGCTGGAAGGTAGGGGAACCCCTGGAGTGTAATGAACCTGTTAGTGTGTCCATCTTTATCCAAGTGGTTTAACTAGGCCAGGGCCAATAGGACTGGAGTTCCTCGTTGTTTTCGTGCCTTAGAAGCTACTTAGACATGGGCTACCCCATAATCCTAGGCCCTATTTGTGAACCTTCCTCAAAGAGCCTATGCAAGTCTGTGGATAGAAGTAGTACTTATAAGTGGCTTAGAGATAGGGGAAAGAACCCAGCTTCGCTGAACATTTCAGAACAGCCACGCTGGCCTGTCTCGTCCACTTCCTGGAGTACACAGAGAAATGATTTTTTTAATGAAGTCTACACAGTTACCCATTCTCTTCATCCTGGGTCAGTACAGTCTCCCCAGTCACATGGGTGCCTGGGAAACTGAGAGTGAAGCACCAGAAGTCTCTTTTCACTAATCAGATTCTCATTTTCTGGGTCTTTCAAATGTTTTCATGCTCTTAGGTATCTCTAAGGGATAGCAGTCTGGAGGCTGACCACGTTATTAGTGCCATTCCAGCTTCAGGTAATGGGATAGCTACCTTCCCCTTCCCCAACCCCTACCAGTGAGAGGCAAAAGCTGTACCTTCCTGGGTCAGCAGAACCACACCATGCCCCTGAACTGGTCATCTCTATGGGAGTCTAATCCCAAAGAGGACTGACAACTGTAATGGGAATGCCTCCTGAGTCAGGCCTCTGCCTGATCTCTAGTGCTTAGCGAGCTGCTCCCTGCTGAGGCTGCACCTCTGGCTCGTGCCCTGAGTGCCATCACTGCGGTGTCTGTAGCTGTGGTGAATCTGCAGTACCAAGGAGCCCATCTGCCTGTCCAGGTATGATAAAGGGATGGAGAGGCCGGGCATGGTGGCTCACACTTGTAATCCCAGCATTTTGGGAGGCTAAGGTGGGTGGATAAGGAGGTCAGGAGTTTGAGACCAGCCTAGCCAACATGGTGAAACTCCATCTCTATGAAGAATACAAAAATTAGCCAGGTGTGGTGGCTCATGCCTGTAATCCCAGCTACTTGGGAGGCTGAGGCAGGAGAATCGCTTGAACTCAGGAGGTGGAGGTTACAGTGAGCTGAGATCTCGCCATTACACTCCAGCCTGGGTGACAGAGTGGGACTCTGTCCCCCGTCAAAAAAAATGGGAAGGAGAGACAGGCTTAACTAGAGCCCTTAACTAGAGCCCTTTCCTTCTGACGCATGAATGTCCTTCTCTCCAGGGATTTGGACACTTGGTGCCATCTTCAGAAGATCCAGGCGTCCTGGGAATCGTGTATGACTCAGTTGCTTTCCCTGAGCAGGATGGGAGCCCCCCTGGCCTCAGAGTGACTGTGAGAGGAGGAAACTTTGCCTAGTGGCATTTCCAGAGGGCTCCTCTGTGCTCCAGTGTAGGCAAGGCCAGACTGATCAGTGCTATATTCCCTCCCTAGGTGATGCTGGGAGGTTCCTGGTTACAGACACTGGAGGCGAGTGGCTGTGTCTTATCTCAGGAGCTGTTTCAACAGCGGGCCCAGGAAGCAGCTGCCACACAATTAGGACTGAAGGAGCTGCCAAGTCACTGCTTGGTCCATCTACACAAGGTAAGTTGGGATAAACTTCCCTCAGCTCTCCACTGAAAGCCTTGAAGACAGGGACTGGAACGTTGTCACTGTATGTCAGCCAAGGCCTAGGACATCAATAATAAACTTTTCCCTGCATCCTCTCCTCTCTTCTCAGAACTGCATCCCCCAGTATACACTAGGTCACTGGCAAAAACTAGGTAAGTTGGGAAAACAGCTGGGCTGAGGAGGGCCAAGGGCATCAGACCCCCAGCTATAACATTCCTTTCATCCTTTCCTTCTAGAGTCAGCTAGGCAATTCCTGGCTGCTCACAGGTTGCCCCTGACTCTGGCTGGAGCCTCCTATGAGGGGGTTGCTGTTAATGACTGTATAGAGAGTGGGCGCCAGGCAGCAGTCAGTGTCCTGGGCACAGAACCTAACAGCTGATCCCCAACTGCCACTCATGAAAATAAAAATTGCTGGAGCTTGGCTTGGTCTGGCTGTTCTATCACCTATAGGCATAAGAATGCGGGGGAGCAGAGAGGCAAAGTGTGCCTGGGATGCAGAAAGTAAGAGCAGATGCAAGACAAAGTCCTTTATTAGAAAATATATCAAAATCCCAGCCCTCTGAGCCAGGACCAGAAGGGGGAGCTATTCCAGCATGGGCAGAAAATGCCCGGGGAGGGGCTTCCTTCACCAAACAACTTCCCGGGAACCATAAATAGAATAAATATTCACAGAGGTCCCAGGAGAAGCCAGATCACTCTTCTCTTTATGGAAGAGGAAGGGGCTTGGGGTCCAGCCCTGCTCCTACCCTAGCGGCAGGGACTCCCAGGAATCGTCACATAAAATCATGACATCAAGGATTCACAGTCATAACCCCCACAGGAGACCCTAGAGAGAGGGACCCCTCAGGTCTACGGGAGCCCAGCTCCAATCCAGCAGTGAGGAGAGGCCCCTTCCCCCTAGCACGGCACCAGAGTTCAGTTCCCCCGCATCCCTCTGAGAACAGTGAGGAGCTGAGGGTGGGGAGAATACAACCCCATGAATTCGGTTTCATGATTAAGGTAGGCAGGAAGGAGGAGTCAGTGTGAACCTCGGAGGGCTGTGTGGTTGGCAGTAGGTGGAGGCCCAGGCCTGGATGGGGGCCGGCGTTGCAGCATCTCTTGACGGAAGGCTTGGGAGGAACCAGGTGGGTAACGGGGCCCAGAAGGAGCCCGAGGACCCCGAGGGTCAGTCCCAATGTCTGCTGTGATGTTGGTATAAAGAGGCCCCAGCTCTCGAGCCAGCAACTGGTATGTCAGTGAGTTCATCCCATCTTGCGTCCAGGAATTCTGGGTACGGACCAGGAGGTCAAATCTGAGGGTTAGAGGTTGGAGACTAAGACCCAGAAAAGAACAGCCAGAAATCTAGGGACCTTTAGGAGTTTCCTGGCTAGGGGTACAGAACCCTAAGGATTCAGTAACAATTCCCAGGCAGTCCTTCCTTCTTCCTACCTGTGGGGATTTTCCTCGTTGCCCTTATCTCCTCGGTGCTTCACCATCTTATAGTGTCCTACAGATGTGGGGGGCCGAGAGATCTTCATCCCAGCCAGGCGCACCCTATGGGAAAAGTGAGGGGATCATGGGGGATCCAGAGTAGAGGAAAGCAAGGAAGGGATTAAATGTTTCTGTACACAAAAAAACAACTATTACTCAGTAGGCAAAAAAACAAACAAACAAACAAAAAAAACCCCCGAAGTCAAACAGAAAGAAGAAAATGGCTGAAGAGAATATAAAAGCTGGATGTATCCAAATCCTCAGGGCCCACTGCCAGTCTCCCTAGGGCCTTCAAACAGTTGGCAAAGGTAGGTTTGTACCTACTCCCTTGGCTTCCTAAAGGGCTCCTAGGAGCTGCCCTTGCAGTCTAGGAAGGATGCCGAGAGAGGCCATTCTGTTAAAAGGATAAGAAAAGCCTGGGAGTTGCAGACCCAAGCTCAGCAATTCTTAGAATAGTGACTGAGCTACCCCAGCTTCTCTCCCACATCCCCCATGTTAAGAAAAAGGTAGGCCAGGTGCAGTGGCTCACACCTGCAATCCTAGCACTTTTGGATGCTGAGGCAGAAGGATCACTTCAGGCCAGGAGTTCAAGACCAGCCTGGGAAAATAACGAGACCTTGTCTCTAGGGGAAAAAAAAAAAACAACGAAAGAAAGAAAAGAAAAGGATAGAGCCAGGTAATCAGGACCTTGAAAGAAACAAACTTCAAGGCCGGGCGCGGTGGCTCAAGCCTGTAATCCCAGCACTTTGGGAGGCCGAGACGGGCGGATCACGAGGTCAGGAGATCGAGACCATCCTGGTTAACACGGTGAAACCCCATCTCTACTAAAAAAAAATACAAAAAAAACTAGCCGGGCGAGGTGGCGGGCGCCTGTAGTCCCAGCTACTCGGGTGGCTGAGGCAGGAGAATGGCGTAAACCCGGGAGGCGGAGCTTGCAGTGAGCTGAGATCCGGCCACTGCACTCCAGCCTGGATGACAGAGCGAGACTCCGTCTCAAAAAAAAAAAAAAAAAAGAAACAAACTTCACATCTGACACACAGAAGCATGGAGTGCAGATGGCCTGGGAAGGAACTAGAAGCATACTTATGTATATTTACAATTCACTGGGTATTTCACACACATACAGAGGATGAAAATTCAGAGATGTCATCACAGAGGACACAGGGGGAACGGAGGCAATTGGTCCTGCATACCAAGCCCTAATATTCATACCACAGACATGAAATTGGGTCAGCTGAGGCTGAAGGTCAGAATGTTTCACATGCTAAAAATGAGTTGGCCCTGTGCCAGTGGCACAGGCCTCTTACAAAGTGATTCTGGGAACACAGAGCAGAGCCCCTCTGTCTTAACCCCATAGGAAGTGGTCTGGCTGGAACCCTAGCAGAAGGCAAGACTAAACTGTCTCTGGGCCCCTTTCCAGTTCTGGAATCCAGCGATACTATTTCCTATTGATCTTATGTCCTCTCCCAAGAACAAACTAACCAGGAGACTGAAGGAACAAACTAACCAGAAGATACAATGGGCAGCAGCATGCAAGCCTGCTCTGGGTATCCTAAAAAGACTAAGGGAAAGGAATGGGCTCAGTGCAGGACCAGGGAGCTAAAGGTTAGTGTTGAAGGGATATGGCCAAAGGTGGTCTTAGAGGACAGGGATCCAGACTGGGGTCAGGAGGGAAGAAGTGGCAGGAAGTCTGACCTGGTAGCAATGTCATCATCCTCACCACCCCAGCCCCAGTATTCATTGGGGAAGCCATTCATCTTCAGGTACTGGTCAGGAGTAAGCGCCGAGACTCCTCCGAAGTACTGGGGGTATGGGAGGCTAGGGAGAGAAAGATCCTTGCATGCCCCAAGTCTTCTGGGGAGACATCCCCAACCACAATCCCCTTGACTCTCCTCCTTCCACAGGATGGTAGGCTTCCCTGTTTCCCAGTACCCTTCCATGCTCTCTACCTGTATCCAAACTTGTTCATAGCAACAGCAACATGGCGGGGTCCCCGGGGGTCACACACATACAGATTGTGGTCATTTTCTGGCAAGAGGTCCACATCATGCAAGAACAGGCAGTCCCACTCTTCATCACGCAGGGCCTCTCGCACCCCAACATTGAGCAGTTTTGCCCTGTTAAATGTTCCATTTCCAGCCTGGAAGATAATGGAGGGGGACCAGACTATGTCTGTAGTGGCATAAAAAAGACGGGGCTAAAGAATAAAAGTGAAGGCCAGGCACAGTGGCTCATGCCTGTAATCCCAGCACTTTGGGAGGCCAAGGTAGGCGGATCACAAGGTCAGGAGATTGAGACCACCCTGGCTAACACGGTGAAACCCCATCTCTACTAAAAATACAAAAAATTAGCTGGGCATGATGGTGCACGCTGTAGTCCCAGCTACTTGGGAGGCTGAGGCAGGAGAATGGTGTAAAACCCGGGAGGCAGAGCCTGTAGTGAGCCGAGATCACGCCACTGCACTCCAGCCTGCGCGACAGAGTAAGATCTCAAAAAAAAAAAAAGAATAAAAGTGAAAAGAGGGAAATCAAAGTGGGGTGGAGGGCAAGGAGAATGAAAAAGAAAGACTATCTTTTTCATTTTTCCACTTAGTCATCTGACAAATCTTGCTTGTGTATTGATATGGGCCTGATACTTAGATGCTGCTGTCTAACATTTAATCCTGACAATCAGCAACCAACAATGGTGTGGTGTGGAACAGGTGGTATATTAGTTATCTTTTGCTCTTTTCTCATGTTAGATGTTTAAGTATCTTGCTCAGAGTCATACATGTTAACAAGTGACGGAACTAGAATTTTAGCCCTATCGTGTCCAATTCCAACTCTGCAAAAGCCATTCAATAAAGGAAAAATCACAGAAGAGTGTAGGACAGTGGGAATAACCTAAGCAGATTAAGGGGAAGTATGGGACTAACAAATTTGGAAGAACAGTGCCAGGTGCTTCTCCACACTCTAACAGTCTGGCCCTCTTAAAATTATTCTAGGGACCCATTAGATGAAAGTGGAGTGGCATGTGCTTGAGGCTTCCTTAGAAGAAAGAAAGTCAAAAAGGTGGAGATTGGGGTACCTGGTGGATGACATAGATGCCATAAGCAAGCTGCTGGCGCTGCAAGAAGGGGTGCAGGTGGTAGAGCAACAGGCGCAGGTGGTGCTCCCGGGCACGATGAGGCACAATGATGGCTGTTCGGGAGCGGGGCTCACAACCTGCAGGGCGGTACCGGCCCCCTGGTTCTACCCGGGGATTCCGCTCCACAATCTCTGCCAGTGATGGCACTGGGCTAAAGGACACCGACACAGGACCCACTGTTGGGAAGGAATGGCAAGTAGAGGGATCAGAGAGGCAAAGAGAAGAGAATCAAACTAGGGTCTGGGAATACCTCTGGCACTGGCAGTCTGGTTCTGGGGCTTAGTTCTCAGGGCTCACTCAGAAATCTCACATGCCTTGGATTCCCCATCACTGGGACAGCTCTACAAAGGCTGGAAGGTGCAGGATCCTTACCTAGCCTTCTCTTCTTATTTTAGGGTTGCATAACTCTCCTGTCTCACAGGGTTGGAAGCTATAGTTGAAGGCTGGAGAGAACAGGACTTGCAACTAATTAAACCAGGGCTCATCTACAAGGAAAACAATTCCTAGCCTGGGGCAGGAAGAGCCCATAAAGGGGCAAGCAGTAGAAAGTGAAAACCCAATAGTCTAGTCTAAACTCCAAATTCAGAGTCCACTCTATCTCAACCTCAGCCTACCTGCAGAGTCCATGATCCTCTTCTAAGTTCCACTTCTGCCACTCCATACCTCCCTATCCCCAAGCCTCCCTGTCCCCGCACCTTGTCCTTCCTTTCACCACCCCCTTCCTCCTGCACTTACCTAAGAGGGGAGATCGTTCTGGACAGTAGGGCAGACCTTGAGGAGCTGGAGGACCCCCTGGGGCCCCAGGAAGGTGACTGAGGTTACTGT